TGTTAACATAAAGTATAACTAACTGTAAATTAAGAGAACATCTAAATCTATATACTAACCTATAGATTACAATATAATAATATACTTCAATGAATAATAACTAATTGTATGTAATTTGTTGATTGATAGAATTTTTTGTTTTTATTGTTTCTAAAATAATATACTGTATTTTAAATTGAAATAGTTGAACATAATTTATTTGTTTATACTTTGCATTCACCTTTGCAATAAATGCTATCTAAAAGATTAGAGATAAAATATTTTCTTTATTGCGCAACAGTTTTTGACACAAACGTAAGACTATCAATGCAGCTGTATAGAATTTCATAATAAAAAATTTTGATTACGTTAATATGGTGATATTTAGATTTTTACGGTCTTTTCCTAACAATACATAAAAAGAAGTACACAGAAATGTAGTAACATACACTAAGAACACATGACAGTTCTCAAATATTTACCTTTATTATTTAGAAAAAATGACGGATAATATAATGAAAATTTTTATTTTTCTATTCTTTAATTTACATTGATTAGACCATATGATGATCACATTCATGATCAATGTATTGTTTGCAGATAAAACATCCATACAAATGTAGCAAGAGAAAAACATTCTTATTATGCGTATTTCGCCTGCAAACGATTGTTACGATCTCAACGATTAGAACTCTTACAGTTTCCCTAAAATAGATGTAACTGAACAAGAAATTCAGATAAAGAAATGAAACTTCTAGTATAAACAGCTACCCTAGTGAAGCTTCTTGCAACCAAGATCTTGACTACTTGAACTTTTTCAGTAAGATCTCGATTCTAGATCTTGGTAAGAAAAAATTAAAAAAAGAATTCAAGAAATTTCAAGAAGCCAATATCTTGAGCATCTTGTGATTTCTTGACTTCTTGTACCAAGATCTTAAAAATTCTTGAAGCATCGTTTTATTTTGAACTCGAAAATAAATTTATTGAAACCGCTGTAAAAACAGCTTCTACTAATTTATCCTTGGTCATTTCTCGATATAACACTGAAGGAGCATAATGTGTATACTAGTAAGAAAAAAATGGTAATGTTCTATTGTGGCTTACAATTTTTGGATGAACGATGCGATGTAAGATCTATGTAAGAACATTGCGTTTTTCCTTAGAAAAGCCTTTCGTTTTAAAACAGTTTTCTGAAAAAATGACACGATTTTTCGTGCTTTTTCAATAAAAAAAAAAACGCTGAAAAGTACGCCATTTTGTTTGGAAAACGTTCTAAAATGAAAGTATTCTTGGTGAAAACACGGAGGAACGCACTTTCTTCTTCCAAAAAAACCTAAAAGTGATATAATTTATAGCTCGTGAATAGTAAACTGATGTTTTAAGGTTTTCGAGATTTATTAATATTGTATTAGTTCAAAAAAAGAAATTACAAGCAACATCTCATTTGAAATTCAATTAAAACTTGTTTCTTTATTTATTTCTTCGTTCATTTTTAAATAGAATTAAAAAAGAGTTCTGTTTGTTTCGAAAAAAATTCTTTCACTCATTCGCTACCACTCAAAAACATGACGTTCTCTCTTCTTCTTCTACAGTGCATTACCATCCTAATTCTTTCTCAATTCGTCTTCACATCTCTCTACTTTCAATCACACTTTCAACTCACTTCCTCTGCTCTCTATACTCCTCTTCATTCAAATGATCTTCTTTCAACTTCTACAGATATCAAAACACTACTCAAATGTATTGAACTGTGTAATCAAAATATTTTCTGTCGAACTTTTGATTATAATCCACAGGAAAATGATCAATGCCGTCTCTTTCTCAGTCTGTCGACACCTTTAACAATCAGTAGTGCATCATTTGAAAGTAAAGTTGGTAGTGTTATTTTACAAACAAAGTTCTATGGTGAACATGGACAGGCTTGTGATTCCGAATCTGTGTCTACAAACACTTTTTATGATCGATACTTGGTTTGTAATAGTAGTATTCTACAATGTCCAACATATACGTATTACAATGGTTCAATATGTTTAAATCAGCAATACAATGGTACGAACTGTAGCTCAACGGAGATGTGTAGAACAGATTTGAATTTAACATGTTTGAATCAAACGGGACAGTGTGGTGTAGCGGGTAAGTTATGCGAATGAACAAAAATTTTAAGTATATGACGAGTTCCCCGATCACAAAAGCTCAGATTCGCTCTTTTAGTGACGTCTTCGTCGCGAGAGTAGCATAGCTTTGAAATAAGAAGAGATATTTGCTGCTACACAATCTAATTTTAGTGGTCACATTGATAGCTCTTATGTTTAATACAACTGGTGTCACAGTTGCTGGCATTACCAACAGTCATGGAGCTAATTCTAGTCTGCTGTCTGTTCCTTATGGGATCGCTGTTGATAGTTCATTCAACGTATATGTCGCAGACTATTCCAATCATCGTATTCAGTTGTGGTCGACAGGTAACTATCACATCACTCTGATTTCTTCTTCGGTGGGTCTTTCAAAAAAATATATAACTTATATTCACTTCACTTCAGGAGCTTCGAGTGGAACGACAATCTCCGGTACTGGCGTAGCAGGAGCTACACAAACTCAACTCAGTCATCCAACTTCCGTGTTCGTGACGGAAAATTCAACCATCTATGTATCAGATAGTTTTAACTATCGTACACAAAAATTCATAGATGGATCACACGTCGGCGTTACAGTTGCCGGAAGTAAGGACATGAAAATACAGGACAGGAATTCATAAAAGCTTATTTTCTCTTTCACCGTGTTACTTTAGTAAGCGGGACTTCTGGTCCAGGTTTGAATGAAATTGGTTTCTGTTATGGTATCTACGTCGATTCCAATCAGACAGTTTATGTTTCCGATAGTGTTTACACTCGTGTATTGGCCTGGTACATTAATAGCAGTACAGGTGTACTTGTGGGTGGTCAAGGTGGCAATGGTTCCGCTGCAAATCAGCTGTACAACCCTCATGGTATTTATGTAGATGAATTGAATGGGTATCTCTATATAGCAGATACCAGCAACAATCGCATTCAGCAATATGTCCTCGGTCAAAGTAGTGGAGTTACTGTTGCAGGTGGAAATGCAGTTGGTGGCATGGGTCTCAGTCAATTTGATTACCCTACTGATGTTATCGGCGATGGAAAAGGATATCTTTACATAGCTGATTCTAATAATTGTAGAGTTGTACAATGGTTCATTGGAGGTGCGGAAGGAATTGTGGTAGCTGGACAAACCGGTGTATGTGACGACTCTGCTACAACGATGGGATCAGTGCTTGCAGTAGCATTTGATAAAAACTATTCATTGTATGCAGCTGATAGCGACTATAGTCGAATACAAAAGTTTTCAAAGATCTAATTTGAACGAATGAAAGACTCATCGTAACGATACAATTTTCTTACTAATTTAATTCTTATATATACCACAGAAAAAACCTTTGTGAGCTAAAATCACATGGAAAAGACTAGGTATAAGATTCTGCCTCTTCGATGTGTGACGAGCATTCCATTAAAACATTAGGTACCTTTGCCGCGCTGCACCAAATTAGGGAAAAATTGGGCGCTAGATGCAAAATTTTTCGATGAATCCGACAGCGGGTTCCTTATAATTATACATTGACATCTTTTCTGGCGTTGACATAATCTACGTGGCTTTTGCCTAAATTTTATTTTTCTCATTGGTACCTTTTTTTCAACCTATGAGAAAAATAAAATTTAGGCAAAAACCATGCCGATTATGCCGACGCCAGAAAAGATGTCAATGTATAATTATAAGGAACCCGCTGTCGGATTCACCGAAAAATTTTGCATCTAGCACCCAATTTTTACCTAATTTGGTGCAGCGCGGCAAAAGTACTAATTTTCTAATGCTTTTGTTGACCACCTTCAGAAATGAATTTGCACGCACTTTTTCTTCACGAGTAAGTGTGACACAATACACTTTTTAGAACGCTCTCACTCTACTTTTGCCTTTCTGGGTTGGTTCAACTATAGGAACTACATGACAAAATTGTCTCTTCTCATCTCTTTGTCTACCGGTAAGCAAAACAGATTCAATGTAAATTGTAAATTCTTTCACAAATTTTTCGTCGAAAAATGTTTGAGATAGTGAATTTCATGTTGTCTAAGCAACATCACTTCGTCTCTAAAAAACAAATCTTCAGCTCCATTTTCACGTTTTTTCCCTTAAAACAAACTCTTTGTCCCTAGGAATTCGTCCTGACTTTCGTTTCTTTCCCGTTCATTTTCTCTATCGAAATGTCTATGATTCAATGTTTCTCAATATTTCTGTGCATTTGTGTTCAATTGGTGAAAGCCGAATTATTCGCCAGTGGTTACATGGCCATACTATGGTTATCTAATGATTGGCCTTATTATACCGATGATCGATCATCTCTCTGGTGCTGAAATCTTGCAATCCAAGAAGACTGTCATAGAGAAACTCGCATGGTATCTCTTGATCCTAAGTTTACCAATGATTGATATGATTCTTTACTTCAACTGGTGATGATGCAATGATAGCGTACGACAAATAAATTAAGGACTATTGATCTTATTTTTTTTCTCTTGTAAATTCGAAATTTATTTCAAATTTTACCCTCAATGTGGTGTCATAACTTATAATTCGCAGCTCACAGTAACTGACATTAAAGCAGTGTTGATCGCAAGAGAGGTAGCATTAGATCGTCCTGCAAGGAGGAAATCTGAAGTCTAAGTTGCAGTTAGTGTTCAAGAAACTTTTTCTGCCAAAATCGAAAGTGGCGCTATATAGCATACCTTCACACGCTTACAATATAATTCTTTCGCCAGCGCACTACTCCATGAATGGTATGGAGCCAAAATCCGCGTATTTTTTCAGATACTTTATTTATTTTCAAGAAAACAATGTATAGGTAGTCCTACAGAGATTTACTGTTCTTTGAAAAATAAACTTTTCAATTGGCTTCCAAATGGTTTTGATGAAAAATAATAAATATAAAAACTTGTCATATAATTCATGTAGAATATTACAGTTGCTATTTCATCAAAAAGATTAACAGGATTTTTTGTCATCAATCTCTTACAAAATCGTTGAATTGAATTTATATTAAATAAGCAATCCATATACAGAATGGTATACATAGTAGAATATAGATAGTTATCTGTATGAATAACATTGAAATCAATTGTTGATCGAGTGTTCTTGACCATAATAATCGTTTCAATGGTTGTGCTTCCGGCAACGCAGCTGATGTTGAAGGCGACTGCGGCTCTCTACGACGTCAGTGAAGATTTCGGTATGTTGAGAGACCGAATGTAAACATTAGTATCGGTGGAAGGAAATCGATAAAGAATGGTACCGCAAAAACTGAATATTTGAGAAACCAAGATGACGTTATTGTACAGCCACCATCCAGAAAATGATGACTGAAGAATTCCACCATTCTCCAGAAGAACTACATCTCTTTTCTCAAAACATTCTGTCTTTCTTCACACGAACTATACCTTTTTTACTATACTTCTTTCCCGAGAAACTCTATGTTTCTCCACAAGGACTACACCTATTTTCCCGAAAAATTCGAAATTTCTCCACAAGATCTAAATCTTTTTTCCTGAAAAACTCGTTGTTTCTGCACAAGAACTATATCTCTTTTCCCAAAAAATTCCATCTTTCAAATGAGGGAAAGTCGTGACATTTGGTAAAGTAGTACCTCACTCAACACATTAAGAGCCATTTTTTTAAGCGATCACCTCACCGGTTCAATTGACCATTCCAGATTTTTTTGTCTATAGAAAAGACTTTTGTAAAGACAACATTTTGTTGCATTAGCGAAAACCGCAGGTCAAAACTTTGGCACACCTGACGTTCTTTCTTTGTGTTAAAAGAGTTCCTTAGGCCGAAGTCCCTCCTGTGGACTATTAATAAAAGAACTAGCTTGTTATAGTTTTATCATTGAATTCCTCCTCGAAAATTACCTATATGACTTGATTTCGATGACCTGATAGTGTCTTGTAATAGGAAAATGCTGAGTTAACTTTGGCTCTGAAACGTGGCTCCCGTCAATTGGACCCATAAGCCCTTTTAAGCCATCACAACAATCCCATTTGATGCCTTATAGTACTCGTGGTTTATTCTATATATCTATATCATACTAGGCATGAAGTTCATTCCGACGGAAGAAAAGTGTGCGACACAAAGGCGCATTTTCCCCAAAATATTAACCATTTAGGCTAAGATCTCAGATTCAAAACCACTTCTGACCCTAAAAGTTCTTTAATAAAGAACCCTTACTTAGGTCTATCTGAAGATATAATTAAAAATTCTATCTTTTATTTTGTTTTAATAAGACAGACCTCGAAACACCTGTGGGGTTTTCTCGATTTTTCGACCGGTAAAATCTTTTTCAAAAATCGGGTCACTTACATTCGTGATCAGCGTCAAATTCTCCATGGAATGATGTGTGAAAAAGTCAAAAAAAATTCCACTCAAAGTATGGATTCTGTGCGTCTTAGATTTAACCGAAAAATCTATGAGAAAAAAGTAACAAAACGAATTAGCATTTACAATTAGGAATACGTACATATTTCTCTTCTTTGCTTTCCATGAATTTAACTTTCGATTCTAACTATTGTTGATGAAATGATTCAACTCAAATTATACCTCTATCTGTCTGATTAATTTTTAGACACAGATGAGAAAACAAAAATGTGTACATACATGCTTGATTAATACTTTCATAACATGCTCCATAAATGAATAAGAATAAAAAGATGTCTTTTTGATATGCACCTTATCTGTTGTCTAGATGTAATCATATCAAAATTTGATGTTTTTTTTCTAGAGAAAAGGCCTTCGGGATTTTTACATATTCGGAATCAGCACGACGAGTTACGTTGTACGGCGCAAAGCTCTCGTCGGGGTACCCC